GGAACATATGAGACCCAATTCAAAGTCACCACCTTGTCTGATGTCATCTTTAATAGAACTTTGCCAGTTCCTTCCACCTTTGCAACAGCGGAGTTTGCCATAAACAATTTTTCATCTGTAAGTGCTGTAGTATATGATGAAAATAATTCTTTGTTGGCACAAACATGGCATGAGGCACCAGAATCTATCCACCATTCTCTTGGATTTCCAACCAAGTTACATTCTGAAAGCATTGCACAGAGATCGTCCATTTCTCCTTTGGATTCAGCCAAGTTTGATTGATCCTTCTTTTTCTTGTCCTTCTTAGGACCCCGGCATTCATTAGCTCTATGAACATGTTTACCACAATTAAAGCAGTTTCCATTGAATTTCTTCTTAGGAGGATTGCTTTTTGGACCAGATGCTTTCTTTCTTTTCTTTAATTTTGTGGGATTTTCTTCAACAAAATTTACTCCAGATATTGATGAATTACCACGTGACCTCTTTTTTGCAGCCTTATTATCCTCTTCGATTCTCAACATTACTATGAGATCTTCAACAGTCATCTCCTTGCGCTTGTGTTTCAAGTAGTTTTTAAAGTCTTTCCACAATGGAGGTAACTTTTCAATAATTGCAGCCACTTGAAAAGCATCATTCACAATCAATCCTATATTAAAGGTTATGTGAGTATTAAGAGAAAACTTAATATTTTTAACATAGGCTTTAAATAAATTTATACCTTCATCAAGGAGATCATGGATTATGACCTGCAATTCTTGAACTTGGGTGATGACAGTCTTACTGTCTATCATCTTATAGTCCTCAAATTTTGCCACAATGAATTTCTTCATTCCGGCATCTTCTGTTTTGTACTTCTTTTCTAAAGCATCCAAGAGTTCTTTTGAGGTTTTGGCATTGTTGTGCACATTGTACAGATCATCTTGCAGACCACTCAAAATATAATTTTAACACAAAAAATCTGAGTGTGTCCACGCTTCTGTTACCAAGAATCGTTCATCAGCCAGAGTTTCATCTGACATAACAGGAACATTCTCATTGATGAACTTCTGCAGACTCAACGTAGTGAGATAGAAGAACATCTTTTGCTGTCATCTCTTAAAGTCGACTCCAGAAAAATTTGCAGGTTTTTCAGCCGGTGCTAAGGCAGCATTTGAATGATTATGTGCAACCATTTTTGTTGCAGCACTTACTGTTCCAGCATTTGTTTGACTTGAATTAGTCATTTTTTTCTGTCACAAATGGCAGATAAATTAAGTATTTAAAATACTTACAGTAAAGAACAAATCTTTACACAAACTCTTTCTGATTTAACTATAAAGTTTTTCTGTTCTTTTAATCGTTAATCGAATGAATTTTAAAAATTTAAGCAGAGTAGAAAACCATAAAGGTTTTAATTTCCAGAAACCTCAAATACAGAAACTGTTAAATTTCTTAAGATTGTTATTCTTACAATAACCTGTATTTATAAGGTTAAT